CCCAGCGGGAAAAAAACCTGTGGAAAATATGCTTCTTTCCTCTGCTTTCTTCATACAAGAAATGTGTGGAAAACCTCCTCTACCCCTTCCTTTTCTGCCTTCTCTCCTTGCCAAATACACGGGGTGACACACAAAAGGCAGGGGTAGAGGAGGTTTTCCAGTGGATCTACAGCTGCTCAAAGCAGGACAAAATCCACTGGATCTACAGCTGCCGAAAGCAGGGGCAAAATCCACTGGATTTACAGCTGCCGAAAGCAGGGCAAAATCCACTGGTTTTTGTCCTGAAAAAACCAGTGGAAATCCACTGGTTTTTGTACTGAAAAAAACCAGTGGAAATCCTGCTGCCTAACGCAGGACAAAATCCACTGGTTTTTTGGCCTTCCCGCTTTTCAGAATTTCCACATGCAAAACAGCAATAAAAAACAATACTTTTTAATTTGGTATATGCATTTATTAATCTATTTACAGTCCAAGGGCTTTATGACAAAAGTATTGTTGTATGTTTTATTTTTTGCCTTAGTGAACGGTGAACGCAGATCATCTTGATATTGGGGATGTCTGTAATTGTCGTTTCTGAGTGACTCTGAAAATAAAAACCATAATACATTAATATATTACATATTAATACAAATAATAAATATATAAAAAGCAATGGAAAAAATAGAGAAATTTAGAAAAATAAGTAATAAACATAGTAAAAAGCATGGGAACACAGGGCTGTTGAAACTTATTAAAAATTTAGTGAGTACTTACAAATGCTTCTGGATTGGCTTCGGCATCGGAGTCCAAATGGCCGAGTTCTTCAAATGACGAAATCGGAATGTCCGCTTGCGCACGTTCAGTTTTGCCGTTAATATGAACACAAGGGCCAGAATCCTTGAAGTCGAATCTATTACAAATTCTAAGAAAAACATTGTTTGTTTTTGTAAAACTGAAAAATTAATTTAAATAAAAAACTTACTTACTTGACAAAGGCCTCCGGCGGCTAAAATGTAGTTTTTTGAAAAATGCCTATGTTCACCATATCCGTAACACTGAAATAAGGGTATAAAAACAAAAATATTTATGTTATAACTTACCTTTATCTTGTTTTTTAGAGTTTACTGAACTTTTTCACTTTTTGCACGAAATTTTATACTGATGTGACCGTGCATCATAACATAATTTATAACAACATTCCGAAGAAAGACAATAATTAGTCACAACTTCGTTGTAACTTATGGTCATATTCAGAAACCCACCCCATTTAGCGGTCCGAAATTATTTACCCCTTCCCAACGCCTGCCAAAAGAAGTAGGTTTTCATCTATCCCTACCCCTACGCCTGCCAAAAGCAGTAGGTTTTCCACTGGTTTTTTCAGGACAAAAAAACCTACTTCCCACTTTCCCGCTGGGTGGTCCTTGTGCGCGCATGTGTTGGTTGATTAATTAGACGCAGCTGCTCGTGTCCTTTGGCCGCCGCCATAAGTCGAGGTTAGATGACCCGTAGCTGTGGCTAATTAACACCGAAAATAGCAGGCCAGCCATCGAGAATGTCAGGCAGCAGATTCCTCGCAGACGAACCAAGTGCGAATACCTCAAGGAATTGGATCGGAATCCATCGAAAGCAGACACACATAGCCTTTATGTTGGGCTTCATTCTTCAGACTTGATTAAGGTAAAGTCACACAGAGAATCTTAGAATCTTAGACTTAAAACGTACATATTGTAACAGGCTGGGTATTAATTATGTATATTAACTTATATTATTGATATCATTATTTTATATTAATCGATTATATTGTAAGCGTTGGTCACACTTCTGATCACTCGAGAGAGGATGTGCTCTCTCGAGAGAGTAAGAAGTTAAGCATAAACGGGGTTGAAAGCTAGCTGCCTGCGAGCAGCGAGTTAGTTCGTATTGAAAGCTGAAAGAGAATAAAGCGATCTAATAAAAAGTGAATAAAACAGAACCTGATACAATCTCAGAAGTGGGATACGGAAAGAACAAAAAAATATTCAAAGACTAAAAAGTTCAAATTTAAATTAAAAAACAAAACAATAATGGATTTGCAAATGAATGATGTGTCGGTGACTCAGTTGAAGCGGTGGTTGGAACTCCTCAATTTGCCAACAACTGGATCCAAGGCGGAACTTTTTTTCGCGAGTGGTTGCTATTCCACCGGAAAACCGAGGCAAGATTCCCCCAAGCGATCCAGGAGGAAGAAGAAATACTGGACATGGAGTCGACAAATTCGGAGGACGAAAGCTTGGAGCAGCTAGCTAGTGGTTTGGAATCCGTGGAAGACGTGCGCCTAGAACTGGAGAAGACACAGAAACTTCTGGAAGTGCTGCAGCGGCAGATCGACGGCGCCAGAACTAACGGTTCGTCGAATTTGGGCAGCAAGATCGAGCGAAATACCGAGAAAAGCAGCGTTTCCAAGAATTTCAAGAACGGGCAAGAACGAAAGGCGCAGACGAACGGCGATAAGAGTGAGCGAGATGGAGAGAGAAGCAACGGTTCGGCGAGAAGTGGCGTGATTGAAGAACAACGTAGCGACGAGATGGTCGGCGCCAGCGACGAAACGGTCGGCGCCAGCAACGTCGTCTGCGGCAGTGTTGTGCAGGAAAATTATCGTGAACTTCAGGCGCAGCTGCCAAATGCTGATAGCAGTTTCTCGTCGGCTGGATTTAATTTAGCCAAAGAAATGCTGATGGAGTTTGCGGACAACATGCCGGTTCGATCCTGGATTTCTCAATGGGACAACATATCATCGTTGTATAATTTGACTGACGCGCAGCGAAGAGTGTTGATGATCAGCAAACTAAAAGGCAGCGCCTTACAATGGATGCATGCTGATGCATCTCGCTTCGTCAAACCAACAGAAGAGTTGCTGCAGCAGTTACACCTTGCTTTCGGTGGCAACGAATCGAAGGCGGTCATGAGGCGCAAATTCGAGGCGCGCGTATGGCAACCGAATGAGAAGTTTGCTGTCTACTTTGAGGAGAAGAGCAGATTAGCCAGAGACGTCAACATGGAGGACGACGAGCTCGTGGATGGACTTATCGTGGGCATTCCTACGGTTAATTTGCGCACTCAGGCGAAGCTGCAGTGTTTCGAAAGTTCGGAGAGAATGATGAGAGCGTTTGCGGATATAATGCTGCCAGGAAAAACTGCTGGAAACAACAGGATGCAGACAATGAAGACTGATCTGGTGAGCAAAGACACGCGCTGCTACAATTGCAATGGGAAGGGGCATTGGGCCAGGGAGTGCGTTAAGCCGAAGCGGACACCAGGAAGTTGCTATGGATGTGGCTCTACCGATCACCTGATCAACGGATGTCCTCAAAACAAGAAGCGAGACGGCAATAATTATGTAAGAATGTTTAAAATATTTTGCTTTGAAAATCCCTAACCAGCCAATTATTACAGAATGCCTCATAGATTCAGGTAGCCCTGTGTCATTTATAAAAATTTCGTTTGTGCCGGAAAATATTCATTTAGAACCTCAAGAAGAGACTTACACTGGAATTAACAAAAGCTTATTGAAAAGCGTTGGAAAAAATATTATGTTTCATATTGAAAAGAGAAATAAAATTTTTTTTAATTTAATTGTTGTGACCAATGAATCTATGGGCAGTAATATTGTGCTGGGCAGAGACTTTATGGAAGCCTGCGACTTAAAAATTAATTTAGAAACGCTAAAGATGATAACGGTTGAGAATACTGATACCCAAGACGATAAGAAAATTAATTCAATCGATGAGGTGCCTTACAATGGGAAAAATTTGAAACATCTACAGTTAGAAAGTGAAATTTTAGGACAAGAAAGTTTAGGTAATGAAATTTTAGGAAAGGAAATGTTAGAAAGTGAAATTTTAGGACAAGAAAAGTCAGATAGGAAATCTGCTGGAGAGAATATGTTAGAAACTTTAGGAGAAAAAATTTTAGGAAGTGAAAGTTTAGATAAAGAGAAGTTAGGAAATTCAAGTTTAGAAGGACAACCCTTACAGGAAGAAAATTTAGGTAAAACGGTACAGACTTGTGAAAATTTTGAAAGACAAATTATGGAAATAAATATTTTTGATGATTTAGAAAAAAGAAAGAACATATAATATTGGTGAAACAGTTAGTTATACTGATCAAAAGAAGTTAATAGAACTAGTGGAAACAAATTATGTTCAGGCGAAGCGACCTGAAGTTCCGAAAATAAGATGTGAAATGAATATAGTTTTAGAAAATTCTAAGCCATTTAGTTGCTCACCTAGAAGACTGTCTTATAGTGAAAAAGAGGCGTTAAGGAAAATGTTAGACGAATACATTAGGGATGGCATTATTCGAACCAGTAAATCGGAGTACGCATCTCCGATTGTATTGGTGAAAAAGAAATCAGGAGATCTTAGATTGTGCATAGATTTCAGACGCTTAAATAAGATTATGGCCAAAGATAATTATCCTATACCTTTAATAGATGACCTTTTAGATAAGTTAGTGGGGAAATCAGTATTTACGAAATTAGATTTGAAGAATGGCTATTTCCATGTGTTTGTTAATCAAGAATCAGTAAAATACACATCGTTTACTACGCCATTGGGCCAATTTGAGTTTTTACGTATGCCAATGGGTCTTAAAACATCTCCACAAGTATTTCAGAGATTTGTAAATGACATATTTTCAGACATGATTAGACAGGACAAAGTCATTGTATATATGGACGACA